CTGCTACAGAGTCACCATATTGAAGCTTTGCGGTATTTTAGGCAGAACACTCAATTCTGCTCACAGCAACTCTTTGTGTCCAGCTAGTTCATTCATGCTCAATATCACTTGCCTACTGAGACCTTATCTGCTCAGCTTCCAGCTGACCAGTGCCATCCTATCAACTTTATGTAAATGTGCTGTAAAAAACAAATGCAGTATACAAAAGAGGTGAGTACATCCCTATGCAATAAATATTTAAATGCTCAATGATTCAAAATTGCATCAACTGTGTTATTACTTTTAAGTTGACAAGTACCATTTTCCCACTTATGAACAATCAAAATCTAATTCTGTATTTACACTACACTACCTAAGGTAGAACTTAAATGCAACAAAAGTGAATGCACCTATGATTACTCACACACAAGTTAGAAATGTGATCACTGTAACTAAACTGAGCATTCCTGTGATTTCCAATTAGACTATTTTCATTAAAATGGTTGTAAGATGACCTGTGAACAGCAGAACTTTTGCAGTTTTTAATATATTGTGTTTATAATTTCATTAATGAAAAATATATTACCTGATAAGGCAGAAGACAAGGGACATACATGTCAGAAATTGTAGTATAGATTTTCTGTAGTACCTTGTTTTACCACCAGATGGAGCCTCTTCTTGTTTAATGACATGCAGTTACAGGTGTGCTGGCTGAAGGATCATATGAGTGTATAAATCGATTGCAACTTACAACTAACTGTGGCAGTTGTGTTGGCAAACTCTGCAGTATAAAGTTGTGGAAAAAGGTGTCTGGCAGCTGTCTGGTTGTGCTAGCTCCCGGACACTCACGTTAAGTTAACTAGGCTTTTCAAATGCTAACAGAGGTCGAGAGCTGAGCGTCCGTCAGCTGCTAACACTGACTAGACTCCTAACATTTAGGAGCAACAGAACTCTTAAGTACACTCTTCTAATTACATTTTGGAAGTGGAATAAATAATGAAAGATTTTCTGGACTGAACTAAAGTCACTGCAACAGTATTTGCAAACATCTGTTCGAGCAAAGCAGCTGTTTCCAGCAGCTGGGCTAATATCAACTACGGCGAACAAGTCGCTCCATCATGTAGATCAGGTATGTGGCATTACTTTGACAACTGCCTGTGAAGAGATTAATATTGTTAAAGGTCTTTTATTGTGAAAGAGAGCAGCTTGTTTACTGAGTTTAGTACTTTGGATTTTGTGGTTCCAGTCTTAGACGAGCAATTGTTAGTGAGGTCATTATTATTTGCTACTTGATTTATAATTCAGGTAACCTGGTGTTACTTAATCTTTTCTTCCAAGCTTCATTGTAACCAAGCCGATTTTGCAACATCAAGTGTGTGTGTTTAAAAATGGTTTTACCTGCAACTGTCCACTATATTTCATTCATGTATACAATTAATTGAATATTAATTGTTTAAATGGGTTACTATGAGTGAAGCTAATTGTTTAGAATTAGCATCCCTAGTCAAAACACAGTCTTAGCAGGAAATGGATGACATAGAACAAACTATAGTACTACTAATCAGAGCTGAAGTGGTTGTTCTTCTACAATGATCCCATAGTACTGTTTGCACAATTTTAGCCCTGAAAAGCAGACTGACAAGTGCCCTAGACCAGGCACAGGGGTTCTCAATGGGAATCTTAGATTCTGTCAGCTCAGACAGTGTGAAAGACAATGTATAATGTCCACCTCTTTAGACAGCGTTCAAAAAAATGTCCTTGCTTGCTGTTTGACACAAGCTTGAAAGATGAAACTTTGCTAAAGAATCAGAAAAGAAGCCTGATGAATGTTTGGGGGGATATTAGTTTGTCAGATGAGATTAATGTAAATTTGTGAGGCTCAGATGGAGAACCCCGTGTTTGGTCTGAACCTGATCAGGACCACCACTATGAATGCATAGTCCTGATAGTGAAACACGGAGGTGGGAATGTGATGATATGGGGCTGTATGAGTGCAACAGTTGTTTGTGAGATGACATATAGATGACATTGTGAATGCCTGTTGATATATCAAGATACTGGCTGACAAGATGACTCTCAGTCTGCAAAAGCCTGGCACAGACGGAATATTCCAGCATGATAACGATCCACAGCACACAAGAGTTTCTAATGCAAACATGCATTTAAACAAGCATGCAAAGTAAAAGATTTGAATAATTGCAATGAAGGGTGGAGGGACTTTTGCTACACTGAGTTCCTGTGGGAGGCCTGCAATTTGAATTTAGTAAATCTGGACTGTTCGTTTAAAAAGAGCAGCTAACCTACTATTCATCCTAGAAGTAGTGCAGTTATTACAAGGTGATACAATTTTGAATCATTTGACATTTAATCGACACAGCACAGGGGTACACTTGCCTCTGTTGTATACTGCATTATAAATCTCGTTTGCACTTTTACCCTACTGATTCCTAATGTTAGCATGCTTCCCAGGCTCCCTTCACCACATCAACCTCCTCCTGAAATGATCTCAGGCTTACTGTTGTTGTTGTTTTGCAAAGCTCTAATGTTCATATCTGTCTATGATTGTCTACCATTATGTGTTTTGGGGAGTAACTCTCCCTGTACAACCCTTGTTGCTGCTCAGATACTTTGAGAGCTCCCTCAAAGAGAGCAGCTTTTTCCACCAAATCTAACTGCATTGTTTTGCTTGCTATAAATTCCACAAATTATGCTTTACAGAAGCGTCTGTGATTGAACAAGGTTTGTATTTTGTCCTCCATATTATACAGTATAGTTATGCTTTAAATGGGTCCCTTCCTTGCAAGCATGGAGTACATATGGCATGTAAGTATTGAGTAAGACAGATTTGGAAAAAAATACCTAAACATATCCATCAAATGCCAATTGCCAGAGTGGAGCTATACTCACTGGTCGGTGAATGAGAAATAAAAAAAATTCTGGCAAGCTGCTTTGAAGAAATACCTGTTCTGGTCATAAAAGTCAAAGAAATTATTCTACATGGTTGAATGGATTGTAAAATCTGTTGTTTCCAACTGAAACCTGGCACACATAAATAAACCCCGATCGGCCACAAATTTAAAACCACTGACAGGTAAAATGAATTACATTGATTTTCCCATTACAATGTTACCTGTCAAAGGGTGCGATATATTAGGCAGCCAGTGAGCACTCCGTTCTTCAAATTATTGTGTTAGAAGCTTGAAAAATGGGCATCATCAGGATCTGAGTGACTCTGACAAGTCCAAATTGTGATGAGTAGACTAGGACAGAGCATCTCCAAAATGGCAGGGCAGGTGGGATTTCTCAGTATGCAGTTATTGGTACTGAACCAGTGACAGGGTCGTGAGTGCCCATGGTTCATTGATGCATGTGGGAAGCGAAGGCTGTTCTGTATGGTTCAGTCCCACAGAGGAGCTACTTTAGCACAAATCGCTGAAAACCTTAATACTGGCTTTGATAGAACACACAGTGTATGTTTGGGGCAAACTGGCCATGCTAATTAGTGCCCACCACCAAAAGCACCTACAATGGACTTGTGAGCATCAGATCTGAACCATTGAGCAATGGAAGGAGGCAGCCTGGACTGATGAATCGTTCCTGTAGGAACAGATGGCAGTAAGATGCACTTTGGGAAGAAGGCAAGCTGGTATGGGCAGTGTGTTTTTTGGGTCCCTCATGGCCAGAGCTATCTCCACAGCATTGTGGTTTGGGCAATGTTCTCATAGTAAATCTTGAGTCCTGTCATTTATGTGGATGCAGATGTGGCACGTAGCACCCCTATTGCTGCAGACCATGGTATTCCCTAATGGCAGTGGCCCCTCCGCAGGATGATACTCCTTGCCAAAAATTGGTTTAGGAAACATGGCAAAGAGTTTAAAATGTTGACTTGGACCAATCGAGCATCTGTGGGATGTGCTGGAAAAACATACCTGATCCATGGAGGCCCCACCTGACAACTTACAGGACTGAAAGGGTCTGCTGCTATCGTCTTGGTGCCTGATACCTCAGGGAGCCTTTTTGTGGAGTCCATGCCTCAAAGGGTCAGAGCAGTTTTGGCGCCACAATGGGGACTTTTATATATATATGTCTCTTCCATTCGTCAAAGGAAATAGCTTGAAGTATGGAGAAGGTTAAGTGTTAACGTTGCAATAGTTTGAAGCAATGTGTGCTGACAGCTGTGATGAATTGCTTCCAATGTATTTGTGTTCCTTACCACACACATATTTTCTGCATCATCCTACATGATAATACCTACTCGTGCTTACTAGTCTCTATTGCCTCTAAGGATGGTCGTATACAGTGTATTGTATTCTTTATACAAGCTGCTTTTTATTTGTATGGTTGTCATTTATTTATTGTGGAGAAACAGTAGATGCCATTGTTTTCCAGTCCTAAGCTATATTTACAGTATGATTCAATACATGTCTTTGCCAACATTACATCACAGAGTGATCCACACAAAAGCAATATCTGAAGGTGACTTCATTCTTCAAAATCGACACCAGACATTATTTTGCATGCTCCACATTCAAAGGTCACACATTTCAACACAACGATAACTGTAATGAAAGTCTATTTATCTTTTTCTCCCATTCTGTGATTTTGTGGAATGTCCATTTTTAATTAAACGTCCATGTACTTTGTCCCAGTTTAAGTTGTGGTACTTGGAATTACCACTTGGGTGCACTCTTGAGTCAGGATGAAAAAAAAAAAAAAATGTCCAGCAGCTCATGAAATTGATGGCCAACAAGTTAATTGGCTGGTCTCTTTCTGTCCTGCAGAGTTTCAGTACTATCCAGTTAGCTCAAGAGCATTTTAGGGCCATATGTCGCCCTGTGTGATGGTTGGTTGCAGTGTGCTAACTGTGCTAAACAACTTCAGTTTTAGCTCCATCCCCGTTGTGTATCATCATTTGTTCATTCTTGGGAGGCCGGCTGTGCGTGTACAGTTGATTCTTACTGATGAGGTGTAGAGTTGCTGAGATCCCTATTTCCTCCCATTTTTGTTCATTAAAATATGGCTTGAGTGAGTTCTGACACAGAGAGACACACAAAAAAAGAAAAAAGGTTTCTCAAATTACTCACCTTCAGTGTACAATATTCACAAAAGAAAGAAACATTCATTTATGCAACTTCACCATTATGGGGTGTGTGGCGAAGCTCCTTCTTTTGGTAGAGATGATTTGATTGTATGAACAATCACACATGATACGAGACTGCACATAAATGTTATATGAGTTGTGTACACATAATAGCATTGTTGCATTCAGTACTTAATACCTCTTTCAGAAATATTAATTTCTATTAATATACCATTTGTAGTTAAATACAAAAATCAAAAAACACAGCATTAAGTTAACAAATAAGGAAAGGTCTAAAACTAAATATATAAAATTGAAAAAATAGAAGACGATGAAGAATACTTTCTCCTGGTTACAGTTAAACCTCCTTGGCTTTGTAGAAAAGATCATCCACCAGCTGCAGTATTGTTGCTCATCCTTCCCTAATTCAAGATAGTTTCTGAATGAAGTTATAACAGCTTTCTCTCCGAATGCTGTGAAAGTTTCTCCTCTTTAAAGATGCTGTTCAGCATCATTAGTTTGTTTTTAACCACTGAGCTCTGACTATATCAAATATAACAAAAATCTTGTACACTTCTTTTATTTCATAAAACTGATTTACTGTTGCTGACATGGCAAACTTTGGAAAGTGTTGTTTTATGTTGAATTTGTATTTGGTTAAATAATTACTAGACAACAAATTGGGAGACTCTATTATTCCCTCATATGCATCCAATGCATAGAGAAACATACTTGCAAACCTCTTTTGTTTTGTATTAGATGGCTTATTGAGTGTGCGCGCGCAGGAAAGTATGAAATGCTGCTGTACTGTAGTCCCGTAGAGTCATTACAATTTATAGCTAATCACAAAGAAGACGTGCTTTTCCTGTTTTGTTGCTTTAACTAATTCATGCTTTGCAAATGTACACATAAAATGATCAAAGCAATTAGTCCATGTTGCTCTCAAAATGCAAACAAAGAATGAAAGCAGGATGTGAAACTGGATAATGTATCTGCTCTGTGCTTGAAAGCGAATTTCTTGGCCTAATGAGCATATTGCCATATGGCCTGATACACTGTGGATGACACAGCTAGGATCTGTGTATCACAGTTCATTTGTTTTGGGCCAGACATGGTCTGTGGGAGCTATAGGGACGTCAGTATGTACATCTACTTACATGGTGTATTGTAGGTGTTTCTACTGTGGCTTCCAAATAGAGGGGCTGCACATCTCTGTACATCTTTTGTCTGTCTTTTGCTCTTTCTCCTCAGGGTGATGGATTCTGGTTCTGGGTTGTAGAGTGAGCACAGCATCCACCTCACCAACACAGACTCAGCACGACCTGGGCTCAATGAAAATGATGAGGGAAGAAACACACATTCCTGAGCAGATTTTGTGTTTTAGAGTACGACAGAAACAGAATACATCATTCAGTGCAAAGACGTGCTGAGAGGAAGGTGTCACATACAGGAATCTCAATTAAGACCTGTTCTTGGTTTATTAGAGGTTTATAGGTTTCTTTTTTATGGCATGATATTTATCTAATTATGACTCAATGTTAACATTGTTGCCTCAGTCTGGATTTAAAGTATCTCTCATTTTAAAGCAGCTGGTTCATATTTGATGAGGTCTGAGTCATGACTCTTTGAGTTCCTTGGTGACGTGAACTTCTTTGCAACATTTTCCATTCGTCCTCATGAAGCATAATGTAAATACACAATGTATAATAGCTTACCTTTCATTGCCATTGACATCTGTGGCAGCAGTGCCATTTGCAAACTGGATAGTTGCTGTGTCCGTCCTGCTGTTCATTTCTTGAAGCATGACGTTTTGATCTGTTAAACCTGCCCTGCAGGTGGCAGGGGTGTGGCCACACAGCAGAGTCACCTCTGTAAGCTGCTCTCTAGCTGGGTTGTGAAGAAAGAAAGGAGAAATTAAAAACCAGAGATGCTGGGAATGAGAGCATGCAGTTTTATGTATTCACACGGGCTACAAAGAGAGATAAATGTCCACTCTTAAAAGAAACTAATTCTGGAACTTATAACTTGAATTATGCAGTTTGACCTACACACTTTATGCAGTTTTACCTGCTGTTGCAGTGGAAGATGGCCGTCGACTTTTCCACCCACTGTAAATAGGACATCGGCATCTCAGTAGATGGCTGTAGGCTGACCTGAAGTCCCTGTTGAGGGCTCCATAGAGAAAAGGGTTAAAGGCTGAGTTGGCGTAGCCCAGCCACAACACAATGGGATATGCTGGTACTGTGCTGGGGTCTGGATGCTCCTTTAAGCCCAACACTGTGAACAGGATGAAATACGGTAGCCAACACACCACAAAAGCCCCTATGACTGCTGCCAGCGTCACTGTGGCTTTGTGCTCCCGCAGTGCCACCAGTGTAACAGTGGAAACCACAGTAGTAGCAGTGGAGGGATTGTTCCTGCAGTTGTAACTGGTGACGCAAGTGGGTCGGGCACTGACAATGCGCTTGGCCTGCGCCCGTGCAATGCGAAGTATTTGAAGGTAGGTCCAGCACATCGCCACCAGAGGCAAGTAGAAGGTGAGAAGAGAGTCTGTAAGTACATAAGGTCTGTTCAGCTCAAAACGACATCTCCTCTCTGAAGCCCAAGGCCCGTGGTTCTGTACTGTCCCATTAACGGTGTTCCACCCCATTTGGATGGGCAGGAAAGACACGGCCACAGACACTGTCCAGACGGTCGCCATGGCCACAGCAACTCTCCACGGCAACACCACCGAGGTGTATCTCAGGGGCATGGTCACGGCCAGGTAGCGGTCCACACTGATGGCCAAGAGGGTGAGGATGGAGGCGGTGCACAGCATGACGTCCATGGAGATGTAGAAGTTGCAGAAGACCGGGCCAAGCGGCCAGTCTCCGTTGAGCTGGAGGAGGGCAGAGAAAGGGAGAACCGAGAGACCGAGCAGCAGGTCTGTCACAGCCAGCGACACAATGAAGCAGTTAGTCAGGCAGCGGAGGCGTCGAGAGATGCAGACAGCCAGGCACACCAGCACATTACCACCAACAGTCAGGAGGATGAGGAGGGACAGGACGACACCCAGTATCGCTTCTGACAACATTATTGCTGGTGCTTCACTGGATACCACCAGACAACATCATGACAGGAACTTTATGTGAACCATTGTTACCTTTTTCTTTTCGGTTTTTAATTAGCTGAAATGTGCTCACTTTATGAAAAGAGCACATTCACGTGAAAAGCCTTAAGCTCACATATAATGTCATTCAATATGTTCACCCGGAGTGTTCAAAGGCCCCCATTTATTAAGGCGCACACAGTCCAATCTCGATGTCTCCATGGTGAAATGTGATTAAAGATTTTGGCCACATGCGATTCCTTTCTTCCAGCTCGGCCAGTATTTCCAGTTTCTTAGCTGCTAACTGACTGTATTCTCATGTTAAAAACCTTCATACTCTCAGCTCTCCTGTGACTTGATCACAGCAGTCCTATCGCTCATACTCATCACAATATTCCTATCCAGTTCATCCATTAGGTATATGGATTGCATATTTAAAAATGCAAGATGTTGGTTGAACAACATTCGTTTCTTTGCAATTGCAGGTGCTGGGAATTGCAACTCAGCACTGTGCTTGACTGTTTTTGGGCACCGTGCTGGCTGTTGAGTGGCTATCTGTCTGCATGGCTGATTCACAGTGGTTCATGGCCTCTTGTTGGCTTTAATACCATTTTCTTTGGCTGTAGTGACACCTAGTGGACAAAAAGAAGAAATACAGTTAGTAATGCAGTTTGCATGTATCCTCCAGTTTCCAATATACACAGCTATTCTCACACAATAGAAAGCAGGTACTTTCTGCTGGCATGCTTGTTATTGTAATTTTTCATATACAGCGTATTTATAGATAATTTATTGCAATATCTGATGGATTTCATTAACCATCAGAACTACAACAACAATACAGAGTAAAACCTTTTAAATAAGCCCTTATGGATACATTCTTACTAGTGTTTGTTGATAAGGTATAACCAAAATGCATTATTAGTGCATTTGTTTTATGTTTAATTAATTTCTTGAGTAGGGATCTGTGCTTCATTATGACCCATTAGTGGGTTAATACACTACAATAAATGGAATGCACTGATGCAATCTGCCCAAAATATTATTGGAAAAGCAGAATCAAAAACTGCCATGGAGAATTAAAATTATTGAAGATAAACAAAAATTAAGTCATTAAGTACTATGTTGGCAGCAAGTTAGCAATACCTGATAAAAATGATAAACTGGCATTGACAGACAGAATGACTTGCAGATTGGTGGAAAACCTAAATAAAAAAATGTGTCTTCGAAGTGAATAAACTAGAAAGACATTTGCTCATGCTCTGTCATTATTCTCTGATAAGCTTCCAGTGAACAGTCAGACTGCATAACCTTTGCTAAGCAGCTGCTGCTGTGGCTACATGGGACAAAAATGGGGTAATGATGAATGCTAAAGCTGAATGTAATATCACCAGCAGAGTTTTTTTCAGGTTCTTTCACTGACTCTTTCATGTCTATTACACTGCAATATCAAACTAAACATTGCAAATATAGCTAACATTAGTCACCATTCGCTTGTAGTAATATTAGACCTTATAAGGCTGCAGGGACAAAACCCTTGAGTGTATTGAACTGAGCAGGGCTGCATTTAATTGCTCCCAAATTCAACTTTTTATTTCTAAGAGAAAGTGTGTGTTATTTCCTCATTCAAAACGTACACAGTGTCACTTCAAAATAATATATAGATTATTAAAATGATTTCCGCATAGTGTTCTTTATATTCTCTTCTCTGTATAAATTCCTGTATTACAATTGCAGTTCATTCTATGTATACTGTAGCATCAGTAAAGATGTTATTGCTATGCAACTTTACATAGTTGACACATCTGATAGTAGACATAAAAACCTGAACTTTGAATGTATGATGCTAAATATTTTAGCATATTATGGATACTTAAATCTATGGATCACCACATATTTAATGCATCTCATTGTATATACATGTTTTCAGCCTGTAATGTTTCCTTATTTCATGGCTGCCATTTAAGTAAAGTTGACATTTTTGGCTGTCAACTAATGGGAATTCCAATCTATCTATAATAAAACCGTAAACCAAGACAGATGAGTATGTTTGTTGTGCACACACTATTTATTATCTGTGTATACAGCCCACATGGCTAAACGTCTCTGAGCATTCTGCTGCAGCTCAGATGTTATTAAAACGGGTTTTCGTTTCACTATTTTAAAATCCGATTAAAGTTTTGATGCAGAAATGTGGAAAAGCCTTGGAGTAATACTCTGGAAATCCTGAATCAGACACTGGAAAGTTTGGAGAGCTGCTTCACACAGTTGCTTTAGAAAGTATTCAGAGCTCTCTACTTTTTGCACAGTTTGGATTTGATTTTAAATTGAATAAATTGGTGTTTTCCATCAATCCACACTCAAAAACTCATGATGACAAACCAAAAACACATTTTTAGCTGGCATGCCTTTTGCTTGAGAGTGGCTTCCATCTAATTGCATAAAACTCTGGCTGAAAAAAGTCTTTCTGGTGAGAGCTTCTGGGTTCTTGGTGACTTCCCTGTCTCAGGCCCCTTTTTCTCTTTACTCAGTTTAGACAGATGGCCAACTCTAAGAATTAGAGTCCTAGTGCTTCCAAACTTGTTCCATTTCACAGTTTTTGAGGACACTGTGCTCTTAGCAACACTCAAAGCTTTAGAAATGGTTTTATGCCATCGTCCTTATCTATGCCTCACCACAAACCTATCCTGGAGGTCTACAGAAAGTTGCTTGGACTTGGTTGTTCTAATATGCAGTGTGGATTTTCTAAAATAAGCCCAAACTGTTCAATTTCCCTCAGGTGACCAGTGAAATTCTCGACACGTCTTAAGAACAAATAAAACAAACTGGATTAACCTAACTACAGTTTTGAGCACTCCAGCAAAGACTCTGTATACTTTTGCAAATGAGAGATTTCAGTGATTTGCTTTTAATACATTTGCAAATATGTCTAAAAATCTACAGTTTGTTCTTATGAGTTATTAAGCTAGTTATTAGTTATAAGTCTGACAAGGAAAAATGCATTTTTTGTGTGTGAGAAGGAGTCTAAATACTTTCTGAAATGACTGCACAACACAGCAGAGCCAATGGAGAGATGAATTGAGTGTCATAAATACACATGCCATATGCCATGAATGATCTTTATCTTTTGACAAAAACACTTTATCTTTTGACAAAAATACATGTATTTCTTTTGATGTATTTAGTTTTCTGCCTAGACCTTGTAGACACATTGGCATAGTGGTATTTGTCCTCTGTGAACTTATTAATGGTGCGTGGGCATGAGTTCTTCATGTGTGCCTGAGGGAATGAGGGTAACCACTTGATAAGTGTGTGTGTGTGTGTGTGTGTGTGTGTGTGTGTGTGTGTGTTTATGTGAATATGTGTGTGCACATGTGTGTGCAGTGTGCTGAGTAAAAGTGTTTGCGTCAGTGGGTGGTGGGTATGTTTGCTTGTCTATTTTCTGTAATGGATAATGGGACATTTGCCAGACTTGGTCCAGAGCTGCTCTCTTATCACCTTAAAGGGAGAGAGAGTGAGACACTGAGAGATGGACACACTGGCTTCTCATTAAGACATAAAGGAGGCAACATAGACTTTATAATTAAAAGAACAGTTTAATTAAGTCTAGCTCTACGGAAACTAGAACACCATCTCTAATCTCAGAACTCTTCCAATCTTTGCATTTCTGTCACCTACTCACTGCTTTGAACTTCATCCAGAGCAAACACTGATAACGCAGCCACTAACGTATGAAGTGCTGCTCTCAAACGCACATGACATCTGAGTTTTTATATCGGACAGGACCACAGACTGACTCAGACACCACACATTTCAGCTGTTTCCATTGTCATAATCTGTCTCTTACACTGTCGGTCACTTTGTCAGTTTGCCTCTTTTGGACACTTGTTTACACAAACAGCTGGAATTCGGTTTGGCTTGAAAGGAATGCCCTTATATGGATATGTATTAAGGTCACTAGAAGTTTTCTGCCAGGGACAACCTTGTCTGAACCCTGGACATAATGCATATGAGGTTATGTGTATGTGTGTGTGTCCACACAGGCACACGTGTTACTGTCTGCCCTCAGCTGAACACTTTAGTTCCTTTTCCCATGTTCCATCACTGGTGTGTGAGAGCATAACCATATTTGCTTCCTGTGTTTATCATTGCATAAACATTTATGTTTTATTAAAACCATGATAATATACAATCTTAATCACTCACTTATCGGGGTGTGCAGTGAGCACGAGACTTAGAACAAGCTACATGCATTTGTATTTTATCAGTGCTGTGCCAACGTAGATGACAGTGACAGTGAAAAAAGTGACCGTCCAAGTCTTTCACATTTGATGAGTGTCACATTTATAGTAGAAATAAGAAAAATAAAACAAATCCCTTCTGTAGACACGCTGCTATTTTATGACTGACCATCTGTTTGCTGTCACAAACTTCTCATTTGTTGTCTCTAAGGGACAGCAATGGTGAGTGTTACTACATCTGTATATATATGCACACACACACACACACACGCACACACACACGCACACACACACGCACACACACACGCACACACACATGCGCGCATGCTTACCCATGTAGGTCAATATGATTACACAAGTGCAACTCAAAACATATGCCTTAGTAATGGATTTTGAGGACTGTAATGGGTTGTAATGACTGCTGAGTGCTGTGTTTTTTTTCACAGGATGTAAAGTTTGCGCTACTTTCAGGAATTTTCTGCAAAAAAACGCTGTTTCATGTTCTCAGGTAGCAAAAAAAGGGTTTGCTGGGGCTTATGGTCTTTGAAAGGTTCATTCCAGGACTAGTTTGTCGCTTTCTTTGTGTAACTGAAGTGACATCCAACTTTTGCAGGACATCACAAAGATGGAACTTTATTAGTTGTTCATTTCTGGCATCTCCTAGACAACTTCTTTGTCTTGTCTCCTATCTCACGGCATAAGGATGATGTGAATAAGCTGGAGAGGCTTCATTCTGCCTCATCT